AGATTGAGGTAGAGACCATCTATTCCAATTTTTGGTAGGTTTTTATCACAAATACATGTTGGATTTTGTCAAATGGTTTCTCTGCATCTACCGAGCATATGGTGATCATATGGTGTTTATCCTTGGCTTAATAACATATTGTATTACATTTATTGATTTGTGTATGCTGAACCATCCCTGCATCCCTGGGATGAATCCCACTTGATCCATGTGTATGATCTTCTTGATGATCTTCGGCATTCTATTTGCCAGTATCTTATTAAGGATTTTTGCATCTATGTTCATTAAAGAGATTGGGCTATAGTTCTCTTTTTTGATTGGGTCTTTCTCTGCTTTGGGGATCAAGGTGATGCTTGCTTCCAGGAATGAATTCAGGAATATTGCTTCCCTTCCTATTTCATTGAAGAGGCTAAACATTAGTGGCAGTAGCTCCTCTCTAAACGTCTTGTAGAATTCAGCAGTGAAGCCATCAGGACCTGGACTTTTCTTAGTTGGTAAGTTTTTAATTACATTTTCAATTTAATTGATTGATATTCAGTCATTTAGAATTTTTAGGTCATCTTCGTTCAACTTTGGTAATTCACATGTCTCTAGGAATGTGTCCATTTCTTCTGTATTTTCCATCTTATTGGCGTATAGGTTCTCGAGGAAGGCATTGATGATCCTCTGGATTTCTGCTGAGTCTATTGTAATTTCACTGTTTTCATTTTTAATTGCATGGATTTGGGCCTTTTCTTTCCTTTTTTTGATAAGGTTGGCTTAGAGGTTGTCAATTTTGTTTATTCTTTCAAAGAATTAACTTTTGGTTTCATTGATTTTTTTGTCTTGTTCTCTTAGTCTCCATTGATTGATTTCTGCTCTTATCTTTATAATTTCCTCCCTTGTATGAGCTTTGCATTTGTCCTGCTCTTCTTTTTCTAGAATCTTTAGGTTCAGCATAAGGTTGTGTAATTCAGCTCGCTTTATTTTCCCAATGTGACGTTCACTGCTATGAATTTCTCTTGTAAGAATGTTTTCATTGTGTCCCATCGATTCCGATTTGTTGTATTGTCATTGTCATTTAATTGTAGGAACTGCCTGATTTCTTTTTTAATTTTCTCTGTGACCCATTGGTTATTCAGATGTGTGTTGTACATTTTCCATGTGTTTATGAAATTCTTGGGGTTTCTTTTGCTATTAATCTCCAATTTCATCACACTATGGTCTGATAGTATACAGGGGATAAGTACAATTCTTTTGCACAAATATTAATATGTTCTATGAGCAAATATGTGGTCTGTTTTAGAGAACAACTCATGTGCAGCTGAACAAGAATTTGTATTCTGATTTTTATGGGTTAGAATACTCTGTAAACATCTGTTAAGTTCATTTGTTCAAGAGTTTGATTGAGTTCTAGTATTTTGTTGTTTATTTTTTCTCTACTTGATCTGTTTGTGACAGTAGGGTATTGAGGTCCTCCACTACTATTGTATTAGTGCTTATATGATTTTTTCTTGTGCATTAATATTTGTTTTATATAGTTGGGCACACTAGTATTTGGTGCATATATATTAATGATTGTCACCTCTTCCTCTTGGATTGTTCCCTTTACAAGGATGTAGTGCCCTTCTTTGTCTCTCTTATTCAATGTTGGTTTGAAATTCACTTGATCTCCAAAGCGGATAACTACTCCTGCTTTTTTTTTGGTTCCTGTCACATGAGGTATTGTTTTCCACCCTTTAACTTTCAGTCTATGAGTTTCTTTTTGAATTAAGTGTGTTTCATGTATGCAGCATATTGTTGGATCTTGCTTCTTGACCCATTCTGTCAGTCTATTTCTTTCTTGGTAAATTGAGACTGTTAACATTGATGGTTATAACTGATATGTATTGACTTATCATTGTCATGACTTTTTCTGTTTATTGCATTCTCCCCCTTTGCTTTAATTTCTTGTCGTGCCTGATGGATTCATTCTGCTGGGCTTCCTGGGGTTGTGATCCTCATTGTCTTTTCCAAGGATATTGTTTAAAATTTTTTGGAGTGTTGGTTGGGTGTTCATGAAGTTCCTCAAGTGGTCTTTGTCATGAAAGTATCTTATTTCTGCATCAATTTTGAAAGGTAGTTTTGCGGGGTACCTCAATCTGGGTTGGTGATTGTTTTTCTTTACAGCATGAAATATGTCACTCCAAGCTCTTCTTGCCTTGAGGTATTATGTTGAGAAGACCGTGTGATTCTGATGGGCTTTCCTTTGTATGTGATTTGTTTCTTTTCTCTCACTGCTTGTAGAATTCGGTCTTCTGTTGGGTTTCTGGAATCTTAAGTATTATGTGCCTAGGTGTAGTTTTTTTTTTTTTTTAATCATGGCTAATTGGAGTCCTATATGCCTCACTTACTTGTATGTCAAGTTCTTTACCCTTATTTGAGAAGTTTACTGCCTTTACTTCTGTGAACAGTTTTTTTAAATATAATTTGCACTCTCTCCTGTTTCTTCCTTCACTCTAATCACTCTGATCTTATTCTTCTTTGCATAGTGAGGCAGCTCATGGATTGATTTCTCATAGTCCCTTACTATTTTTCAGAAATTTTTCTTTTCCTGGTCACTAATTGCAATCTTGTCTTCTATATGTGAAATTCTATCCTTGCATTGACTCATTCTGCTGCATAATTTTTCAATGGAGTTTTTAATCTCCTGGAAATTTGTTTGCATTTGTTTTATGGATTCCATTTGTTTCCTATGTTGGCATTCCATCATGTTCCTCAGCTTCTCTAATTTTTTATCTGTGTCCTCTCTAGATTTATTAATCATGTCTGTACTATGCGCACAATCTCTCCTGTTATCTGAGAAATTATTTCTGATTTCATTTTTTTTCCAGCTCCTCTTTCATTGCCAGTTCAGGGAGTGCAGATGGCTGAGTATCACACTGTTCCATCTAGTTGCCCTTTGGGGTTGTCTTTGGTGATCTGAAAGTCTGATTTCATGACTTGTTTACTTGTCTTCTCATTTCAACAGATGCAGCCTGCTGTGCATTTGTTGAGGTGACTTTTTTTTACCTGGTGGTCTTGAATTCTCAGGAAGCTACTGAGCAGCCTTTACTCTGCTGCTTACCAGTACACCAATTCCTAGGTTCAGAGTGGTGCCCTTCTGGATCCCTGAGCTGACCTATTGTCTGGGTGGGTTTCTGGCTGTGGCCTGAGCACACTTGGGATGGTATCTAGATGTTCTTCTCTCTGGGGCCCCTATGTAGCTGTTTTCTGGGAGGGCCTTGGTTGCGGGCTGTGCACTCCAGTTCCTGTTGTCTACGTAGGCTTTGGCTAGGGTTGCCACACACTTATCAAAGGTACTTGGCAAGCCTCTGGGTATTGCTTGTGTACCTCTACAGCTCTTTTCCAGGTGGTTCCCTGGCTGTGGCTGATGGTATGGCGAGTCTCTGGCTGAAGCCCATGCACTTGTGTAGCCCCTTTCTGAGTGGGCTTTTGGGTTAGGTAGGTGGGCCCAAGCCTTTGTGATTGGGGCAGAGCCCCAGCTGGGATCTGCCTGCAGCTGCAGTGGTCTGGGCCACACAGCTGATCCTGGACTCTGCATGCACTCATGGATAGAATGGCAGGCCTCTGGCAGAAGCCCGGGCACCAGGGCAGCTCCTTTCAGGGTGGACCTCCGGCCTGGGTGGGTGTGCAGGAGCCTCTAGGGTCAGGGCAGACCCCTGACTGGGATACGCCTGCCGCTGTGCCCAACTGGGCCACACAGCTGCTCCCCGGGATCTGCACACACTCACCAATGGAATGGTGGGCCTCTGGTGGAAACCCGTGCACCCATGCAGCTCCTCTCCACAAATTTCTTCATCTTGCAAGAGGTAACTATAATGTTTAAATTTGTTGCAATCTATCTGATTTTTAATCTTTATTCATGATCCTGGTTCATTGATAAGAATTCTCTCTTTATTATGACAGTAAGTCAATGAAATGTATATTATTCTCATTTTACAAGATAATAAATTTGAAATTCAAAGTGCTTATTAAATACACCAGAATAAAACATTGTAGTACAAACTGAAATCATTTTGGATCCTTTCAAACCCAAGCTAGTTCTGCTATTTTTAAACTCTATCTCTGGTGTGAGGCTTTCTTTGCTCAACCGCACCTTTCCATTTATGTTACCCACTCCCTTTTTCAATTGTGTGAAAGTTTCTCAATTTTTACCTCACTCTAACTCAATCTATTTTTCTAGAATGTGGTAGAAAATATTTAGCTGCAAATTTAGATTTGGAGCTAATATATAACTGCTTATTTTTTGACTAGCACATTACATGCTTTGTTATTTATATCTCATAATAACTTCATGAGGTAGATAATAACTTTTTTGTATTTTTTCAACATTAAACTGAGGCCCAAAATGGCTGACTATGCTGCCAGTCCATCATTTTTAATCAGAATATTACCATTTCTTTCCACATCTTAAATTATAAAATATTAAATTTATAATCAATATTGCAAGTGATAAGACATCATTATATTTAGTTGATGTATTAAACAGTTGTAAAATAACAGCTATCAGTGAGAATAAAACAAAACTATTTCAGGCAACAGCACTTTGTAATATCCTTAAAATAGTATAAAATTTTCAGTTACAGGCATGAATCTATGTAGAATAAAAAGAAATTTATTTACTCTATATTAAATATGATTATTAAGTTTTTAGGAGGAATTGATATTATAGCATGTGAATTATTTCAGATACTATACTCTATTTATGATGTACCTGATAATTAAAGTGTGTAGAAAATTAAGCTTTATTTCCTCCAAATCAGTGACTGCCATATTAGGCTATATTTGTTTATGTTTTAGTAGTAACAACAGGATTTGGAAAAAAACATATTTCTTAGTTTCCCTTTTCCTATAACGTCTTTCTCTACCTTTTGTTTTATCAAAACAAAATACCAACAGCCCTCCCGACACATTTCAAATAGTAAAAAAAAGTTGTTATATTTCATGTCCTAAGCAATTCTTTCATTTTCTAAGTTTCATTTTCAGTGTTATAGGAAAAATTTATTGTATAGCTATCTACTCTCTTTGTTGATGCTAAAATTGTTTTCTACTGTTTATATTTTCTGAATTCCTGAAATGTTCTAAGTATTAGAATCTACACAAGACTCAATTGCTATTTTTAGAGAACTACTTTTTGGGAAGGCAGCAAATAAACACCATGATTTCTAAGTTTTAGTATTTACGCATTCAAGGACATGTTGTTGATTAAGATTTTATCTTGCAGTTAGTTCCACATAAATCTTTCCACTTCTTTATTCATTTTGCCATCATAATGGACTAGGAAAGACAGGCAAATAAAATGCAAGAAATGCATATTTTTATGAGTTGATATTAGAGTACAGAAAAAGGAAGATAGTAGTATCATGGTAGTCATGATAATCTTCTTGATATATTATAAGCTATTAACCATGTAAAGGTCAGTCAAATGAGATATTAGGCAGAGGAGAGAGCATGTCTCTGAATAATGTGTCTTACCAAACATCATGGCCTCAGAAGAAGGCAAAAAAGCAGTTTTGGTGAGTCTGAATATACACTTGTTCAAAGCACTGTTAAAAGATGAAGAATTCGATTTATTAAACTGATTTCATTTTGAAAGCAAATAAGAATACATTATATTTTCTTTAAATAAGAAGCAATTAAATATATTTTCATTAATTATGATCTTTCTTTCAAATTGTTGATCATGACCCAAGAGGAAAAATTGTGACTCATTAACTTTCAGTGGTATAGAAAAGGGGACCAAATTTGCACCCCCAAATCTGGAGGCTTAATGGAATTTTCTTCCTTCATCAAGGTTTCATAATATTTAACATTCAAGAACTATCTTAATTATTTTCATAAAATTCATAGACAATAGTGTTTGCCTATTATATCATACTGGATTTTGTTTAGAAAGCAGAAACTCTAATAGTGGTATGGATAAAGAAAATTGTAAGGATTTGACCTCATATATATGTGGGGACTGGTGAAGCAATATGTAAATATATGTCACCTATGTATTAAGGATTAATTTTCAGTTACCAGAAGCAAAGGGAATTAGTAATTAGGAAGAAAAGGTTGGTGAAGAATAACATAAAGTAAAAATAAATGAGATCTCTTCTACTGTCTCACTCTCAACTTTGATGACATAGATGAACTGGAGAAAAATCTAGTGCCATTTTCTACAGATTTTCCCTTACCTGACCCAAGACTTATCAAATATGAAGAATGAAATGTAGTAGGAGGTGAAGGAGTTTCAGACCTGATTTCAGTCATTCAGTCAGAAGATGAGAGACAACAATTCACACTATAGTAACATAATTCTTATCACCTAATTTAAATATTTGAAATCCTTTTTTTATTTCATTTAAGCTCTATCTAACCTAGGAATTATGAGTAATTACTCCAACACTTAGTTCTAACTTAGGTAATATCTGATATCGAATTATGTCATTCCATGTCAACCTGGAAACCATGCGAAACATTTAACTACATTTAATATTCAAAGAAAGCAATAGCAAAAATATGCTTCCATTTCTAATGAAGCAACTATTATCACATACAACTGAAAGTATACCATAACTCTTATCAAAAAGGAAATAAAAGACTCAAATATCATTTTGCCCATCTTTGAAAAAACTTTTCTCTTCCAGCTCAATAATTCCCCTCTTTTAAAAAGCTGCACAGGTGAACAAGCAACAGCCAGAAGCCTGCCCAGATTCCATTGGTAAGTGAGTGCAGATCTCAGCGAGAACTCCACGTGGACCACAGCTGAGCAGGTGTGAGCAGATCCCAGCCAGGGCCCCTCCCACACACCACCAGCTTGGGCCCACAGGCCTCAGCCAAAGGTCCTACTGGAAAAGCACTACACAGGTGGGCAAATAACAGCCAGAGGCTCAAGCAGATACCATTGAAATTGGCACAGTGGTGAGCAGCAGAGAAAAGGCTTCTCAGTGGCTTGCTGAGAATTGAAGACCAGTGGGAAAGCAAAAAGTCACATCAACAAAGGTATAGCAGGATGCATCTGTTGAAATGAGCAGGCATGTAAACAAGTCTTAAAACTAGACTTCCAGATCATCAAATGCAACCGCAAAGGGCAAGGAGACAGAACAAGCTGATACTCAACCTCCTAGACTCCCTGAAGTGGCAAAGAAAGAGGATCCAGAAAAAATGAAGTCAGAAATAATTTCTCAGTTAACAACAGAGATTGTGGCCATAGTGCAAGAAATGATTAATAAGTCTAGAGCAGACACGGATAAAAAAACAGAGGAGCTGAGGAACATGATGGAATCCCAGTATAGGAGAAAAATAGAATCCATAAAACAAATGAAAACAGATTTCCAGGAGATTAAAAAAATCCATTGATAGTTTTTGCAGCAGAATGAGTCAGTGTGAGGAGAGAATATCAGGTATGAGAGACAGGATTGCAATTAGTGACCCAGAAAAGAAAATTTTCTTAAAAATAGTAAAAGGACCTTAAGAAATCAATCCAGCAGATGGTAGATGATGCAAAGAAAAATAACGTCAGAGTGATTGGAGTCAATGAAGAAACAGGAGAGAGTGCAAATGACATAAATTGTTTACAGAAGTAATGGCAGAAAATTTCCCAATCAGGGAAAAGAACTTGACATACAGATAAGTGAGGCATACCAACTAGCCATGATAAAAAAAAAAAAATCTACACCTAGGCACATAATACTTAAGATTCCAAAACCCAACAGAAGACCAAATTCTACAAGCAGTGAGAGAAAAGAAACAAATCACATACAAAGGAAAGCCCATCAGAATCACAGCAGACTTGTCAACACAAACACTCAAGGCAGGAAGAGCCTGGAGTGACATATTTCAAACCCTAAAAGAAAACAAACTCCAACCCAGATTGATGTATCTTGCAAAACTAGCTTTCAAAATTGATGGAGAAATAAGATATTTTCACGACAAAGAGCACCTGAGGAACTTCATGAATACCAAAGCAGCACTCCAAAAAATTTTAAACAATACCCTAGGAAAAGACAATAAGGATCACAACTCCAGAAAGCCAAACAGAATGAATCCATCAGGCACAATAAAACTTGCAACATACATAACTGAAGTATAATTTTATCAAATATCAATGCAGAGAATTAAGAAAGAAATACAAAAAATGTTATATTAACAAATATATTCATATAAAAATAAGAAATAAATACTAATAACACTTGTGAATCTTATTTCATGGGATAATAGATGATATTTCTATCTTTTTTCTTCACTACCTATTCTTTTTCCTTCAGCAAGTGGACTGGTTGTTTATAATATGTTTGGAGATAGAGTAACCAAATATTCATTCTTATAAGATCTAGATTAACCTGTGTTGCACTGGTTTCCAATATATTTCTACAAATTCTTTAATTATAGAGGTGGAATTTATTTTTTTTTTAATATGGACTAGACTTAATGATGCAATTCTAGTGAATAGACTATAGCAGTCATATCACTTCTATGATTAGGTTATAAAAGTCTGTGGCTTCCCATTTTTGAAGTTTATTCTCTATAATCTATTTTTCCCTTTGGGAGAATCCATATAGTTCTTAGTCTTTGGAAATGTTCACATATGTAATACAAAACTTCTTCCCAAAGGCCACATTAATGAGTTTGGAACCATATTCAAAAATACTCATCAAAAAACACTGCTGTATAAACAAACATATGTAACCTGATAGAAACTCTGAACCAGAACCTTTCTGCTAGCTACTCCAAGAATTGTGACCTTCAGGAATTAAGTTAATGAATGTTCATTGTTTTGACGTGCACAACTTTTGGATTAGTGTAATACAGCAATATAAAACTAAAATCGACTTTTGCAATTGGAAGTGGGGTGCTGCTGTAACAAGCAAAAATGGAAGAATATCTCTGGAACTTTATATAGTGAGCTTTTTAAAGAATGTATTGAAAACAATATACTTTGAAACACTATTTAGAAAGTTTTTGGTTTTGATAATTCTTTTTTTGGGAGGGATATTGAACTTGGTGACCTTGTGCTTGCGAGGCAGGCGGTGGAACCACTGAGCTAAATCCCCAGCCTATTAAAGAAGATGTTACTAGGAATTGGGGAATTGGAGATCTTTGTTATTCTGTGGCAAAAATTTAGCAACATATACCAACAGATATATGGAAAGGAGAAAATATATCTAATGAACTGGTTGATCTAGAGCTTTTCAATCAGAGAAGTGCCACCTGGTTTCAATTTGCAACTTAGAGTAAAATAAAAAAGGATACAGATAAATTGTGAAGAAAGAAAAAAACAAGAACTGTAAAATATGAAAACAGAACTTGATGACTGAATTTTCTGAGCTTCTTTATAAAGAAAATTATGCTTAAATTAAGAAATGATTGCTGAGGAAAAAAATCAAATTCAGGGCACTGTAAGGAAAATATACTCCAAAAAGGAAGCTCTACATTTGACTACAAAATCTTTTAATAAGCCCTCACAAATATCTAAGGCAGTTACTCAGAATACCTTTCAAGAAGACAAAAATCCTTCTAAAGAAATTAAGGATACTCTCAATCAAAGAATAGTGTTTCTTGGAAAATTAAGTACTTCAGCAGTTTCAGCAGAAGACTATGTTAGTGATGAGATTATCCTGAGTAGATGTAAGGCTGTATTTTTAATCTAATGGAGTAAAACCTAAAAGAACTGACAAAGTGACAAATATTTTAAGAGGTTTATATTGGAAGTACTACTATGTTGAACTGAAAAACACTCTGAGTATTAAAGGAAGAGCCTTTCAACCCTAAGACTCTACCAGGAGAAATCCAACTGTGAAAACTCTTGAGATATCACTACATGTTACTTTTCATAATAAAGCAGGATGTAGAGGGCAGGGCTAAGAGTACAGAATACAGAGACATGACCCATTAGTCCCAGTGAAGGACATTTTAACATTTTCCAGACTAGATTTCAAAATTACTTTTGCTACTGGCTTTTTGTCTTATGCACACTTCCCAAGGTTTTTAAAGGAAATGTTGATAGTATTTGCCCTACAGCTGTCCTACTATGGGAGTAGATAAGGTGTCTTTTTAGTTTCTTAGATGTTCAGATCAAGAAGCTTTGGATTCTTCTTCCTTTGAACAGTGATGAAACTTGCTTTACTATTAGATTATCACTTTGAACTTTTTCAATTACTGGATGATAACCTTCAAATGTTCTGGCTCAGTCATACAAACAATTAAGTGAAGATCTTAGAAATCCCAATGATTTTTTTTTTTCCAATACCAGGGATTGAACCCAGGACCTTGCACTTGCCAGGCAGGCACAGCGCCACTAAGCTAAATTCCCAGCCCAAAATCCCAATGAATTTTCCAAGCCCATTCAACTCAATATAGGTTCTATATCATTGTATTAATATTGTTAGACTTGATTTTGGGTTTTTGAAACAAAATTTAAAGATAATATAGGCCGTTATCCTTACTATGAAAGTTTTTCAGATCGTTTTACCTAGATGCCAGTGTTTTTGTATTAAGATACTACAAAGATCGCTCCACTCTGGAAATAATTCCAACATTCCTGGAAACCCCTGCTGCCATT